GTGCAGGTCTTCTCCATCTTGGCCTCCAGCAGTGGTTTGCTGGGCTTCATGTTCATCCCCAAATGCTACCTTATTATTTTTAGGTCAGAACTGAATACCAAAGAACATTTGATGTCAAAATAACATTGGGAAAAAAAAGAATTTTACAAATCTATTATTTTTCAAAAGTGTCAATTAATAGCCTGAAATAGCACGTTTTGATCATTTAATATTTATTTATTAAACTTGAATGCTGTCCATCTTGGCTAAGATACTTTAGTTATTTACAATCAAGACAAATGAAGAAAAAAATTAAACAGGACATCTTCATCTTATTCCTAAAACTACTCCTATTTATTTTCTTCTATATTCCTAAAGAAACCAATAACAATAGACTAAGTCTCATTTTTAGCCATAATAATGTGGGTAAAATCAGTTTACAGATGAATGGGACTTTTTAGTAGGCTAGTGGAGACCTAAGGAATGTGGCCTTGAAGCTCATAGAGACCTGTGCTAAGTTATTTTGTGTTGTGTGCTCAAACACTGGAGGCTTTAAGAGGAGATTGTATAGAGCATTGTATGAAATGGTACAGGGAATGCTGATTACAATGCCAGGATCTATTTGTGGTAAATTTAGGTAAATTCACACCACACCCTTAATTCAGTAAAGTGAACTTTTACATTGCCTCATGTGCCATACCAAAATAGTTATACAAGGTGGTGGCTTAGTGTGATGATCTACTTCCCACAATACACAGGAAAGGGATAGATTACCACTTGCCAGAACATGTAAAATGAGGTAAACATCTTTTAAATTCAAAGTCAACACATACAGACGCTCTATGGCCAACCAAGGGTGAGACCCCTGCTCCTTTAAGGTTCCTTTTGGTATGGAAGGGAGAAGGAAGGTACTTTTAAAGTAGTTCCCTCTAAAACTGAATTCCTTTGCACCCCCTGAAAGCATTCAGGACCATCTGCAGACAGTGCCAGGCTGATATGTGTCCAGTGTGCTAAAATCACTATGGAAATGCTTGGAAAAAACCTGGATGTCATTAAAATGAGATTGACTCATTAGTCAGTTTAAAAGTGCATGGAAGACGGTCCCTTTACAATCCAGTTTATGTCAGCCACATCCTTCCATGGTGATTAATGGAGTTGGTCTTACTCTTCAGGGAATCCAGAGTCACCCGCCACCCTATGGGACATTCACATGATGCCTTTGCAGAGGCTCTTTCATGGGGTCCTAGAACAGGTGCTGGTCTGCAAATGAGTTTGGACCAGTGGTGGGATTCAATTTTTTTTACTACTGCTTCTGTGGGTGTGGCTTGGTGGGCATGGCTATGTGGTCTTGTGACTGGGTGGGCATGGCTATGTGGTCTTGTGACTGGGTGGGAGTTGCCAATTTAGCAGCCCATTAAACAATGCACAGCAGCCCNTTTTGCTTTTTGTAAATATTATGATCTGTCCATAATTGTGGTTCGGCCTTTGTGTGCTGGTAAGATGATGATGATCTGGTCCTGTTCTGATGTCCACTCTACCTCTGATGTTAGTTGAAGCTAAGCAAGCTTGGGTCAGGTGAAGAGATGAAGGGTTGGACTCCAAAAATATACTGTGCTTCCCGTTGGTTTTCAAAATTCTACAGTGATAATCATGAATAGAAGAGATAAAGGACTTCCTTGACCATCCTTATTTTGCAAGTCATTTTTGCTTCTTCTAAGAAAAAAAATTATCCTATATTCCTGAGTAAAGATTCTCCATTCGAACTCAAATGGAGGAGTCTTGTTAGAGAGCTTTCCGTCTCTATGTAATATTGCTCATTTTCTCTTCTATTCCAGCTTCATCCTTTCCTCCGGACTTCTCAGTTTTATAATAATTCCATCGATGGGGTATATTTGGATGGGAATGGAGATCTGGTAGCAGATCTGGACATTGTAAACACAGTGGTTTTCTCCAATCAGTCTGTTACCAAAGTGACAGTTGGGAGTCTAGAAAGAGTGGGATCCTTGGATTTCAAGTTGCTCATGAACCAGAATGCTATTTTAAAGATGGAAATGCTGAATAAGGTGGGGACAACTTTATTCTCTTTTTTTTTAAAAAAAGTCTTATTACTAGGATTGCAGAATTGGGGCAGGGACATACTTGGAATGTTATATCTTTCTCCCAGAGTGGAAAGATATATTGGTTAAATGTTCAGGTATCTGTGAGAAAAATATCCTTACAAATCCCTGTTAACTATTATAAATCTTCCACAAGGGAATAAGATTGAAATCAAGAGATAAAATGATTGATTTTTCCAAAGCAGAAATCCATTCAGCTTTCTCTCGAGTAGGTATGTTGAGGATTTAAACTAAAAATTGTACTGTGGCAAACATGAAAAGAGAAGAGAAGGAGGCAAACATCGAGAAGCTAAATAGGTTTGGTAAGTTCTAAGTTTCTTGTAGGTTTCAAATTTAGAAAATGTAAGACTTGAACTGGAGATGCTCTAACTTTTCTTTTTACATCCTTTATCCTATACATGCTATGGATGCAATGTCTTTCCTTCTCTTCCCAGCCCCTGTCTCTTTCCAGATGTGTGGAAAACTGTCCTCCTGGATTNTCTTTGACAAGCACCTTGCATAACCAGGACTTTGCAAACCGCTTCTCAAAGAGAAGGAAGCTGGGGGGTGGATGGACTTTTTCAGAGGAGCTGGTTCGGGCTTCAACACTGCTCTGGCCTTGGTTTGTCTGAAAAAGTCCTTGTCCGCTGCTTCTTTTTCTTTGACAAGCAGCTTGGAAAAAAATGGGACTTTGAAAACGGCTTCTCAAAGAGAAGAAAGCCAGGGGAAGCAGGACGAATTTCTTCAGATGAGCTGAGAAAGGCTGCTTTGCCACCAATGCTCTCCTTCCCACACTGCAGGCATGTCCTTTAGGGGAAGATGTCCTACCAAGGCAAGAACATCTCTTGGATCACAGTGAGGTGAAGCGCCCTCAGACATATTCTGCCGATCTTGGGCAGCTGAGGTGGGTGTAGCGGGTGGGTGGGAAGCTCCAAAAGTCTGCAAGAAGGGCAAGCAGTGCCTAGCAGTCAGGGTGTACAGCTTCCCTTTCAGCCTCCGAAGCCACACTTGGCCCACTCAGCTCCCGAGAATGCTTTCCTGGCTGGCTACCAATTTATAAACAGAAATTAACCATCTTCTTTTAAACTTTCCATTCTCATTGAAATGGAAAGATTAAAAGAAGTTGGTTGATTTCTGTTTATAAAGGTCATGTGGCAGTGGTGTGCGGGCTGCTGATCAACCCAGGCCCTGGCCAGGGTAGCAGGGCTGTCCTGGAGCATCTCCCAGGTGGGAAGGAGCACCAGGAGAAAGTGGCTGCTCTCTGCCAAAAACCCAACTGCAGCTGGCAAAGGAGCATGAAGGAGTGGCCACCCAGCAGAACTGGGAGAGGCCCAAGTTGGTGGGCTGGTGGGGAGGTTGTGCTGGCCTGGAGGTGGCAGGGAGGTGGGAGTCAGGGCTGTCCTGGGCATCTGCAATAGGCAGCAACCTTCCACCCGCAGCTCTCAGAGGAAGGAGGCAGGGAAGCGAGCCTCGCATGNCATACAGAGGCTCTATGGCCAACCAAGGATGAGACCCCTATCCTTTAAAGGTAGCTTTTGGTATGGAAGGGACAAAGAAGGTACTTTTAAACTGGTTCCCTCTAAAGTTGAACTCCTTTGCACAATTTGAAAACATTCAGGACCATCTGCGGACAGTGCCAAGCTGATATGTGCCCAGCTTGCTAAAACCACTACGGAAATGTCTGGAAAAAAAAACTGGATGTCATTAAAATGAACTTGCCCATTAGTCAGTTTAAAAGTGCATGAAAGATGGTCCCTTTACAATCCAGGTTAAGACAGCCATATAGTTATATGATGGTTAATGGAGTTGGGCTTACTCTTCAGGAAATCCAGAGTCACAAGCCACCATATGGAACATTCACATGATGCCCTTGCAGAGGTTTATTCATTGGGTTTGAAAACAGGGGGTGATCTACAAATGGGTTTGGACCAGTGGTACGATTCTAATTTTTTTTACTACCGATTCTGTGGCCATGGCCATATGTTTGTGTGACTAGGTGGCCATGGCTGTGTGGTTGTGTGACTGAGTGGGTGTGGGTATGGCTATGTGGTCATGTGACTGGCCCTCTCATATTCATTGCAGCAGCCACAATGTGTGAAGGTGCTCCTTTGGTACTAAGTGAATTTTGTCCCATTTCTTACCACAGTTGTTAAGTAAGTCACTGCAATTGTTAAGTTAATAAGACAGATGTTAATTCAATACTATATGTCAGAAGGTTGCAAAAGTTGATCTTATGATCTCAGGACACTATAACTCTCATAAATATGAACCAGTTGACAAGCATCTGAATTCTGATCATGTGACCATGAGGATGTGGCAATGACTGTAAGAGGAAAAGCAGTTATTTCACTGCGACTGTAACTTTGAATGGTCACTAAATGAACTAGTGTAAATGGAGTAATACTGCTGTTAAATTCAAGGGGCTTATTGGCTTTGGCTTCCGTGTAATTTCTGGAATAAAGTTATTGGCCTCATGAAATGGAAGGTGGGAATTGAGGGTGGAAGGAATGGTTGTTAAATCGAGGGCTACCTGAATGGACTTCAACCTCCAGAATTCCCCAGCCTTCATTCTGCTGCAGATCCCATATCCAGTGAAGAGATGAAAAAATGAGACAGCATTTTATTAATAAAAATTTAATTTTGAATTATTCACTTTATATGATCACAATCTTAAAACCAGATCTACAGATGTAAAGATATAGGCAGATTTCATGTAGGAAAAGCTAAAATATTTGCTAGGTGTTAACCAATCTCCCTGATCCTAACACCAGGGGTGGGTTTCAGCCAGTCCGGTCAGGTACACGCAGATCGGGGGGCAGAAATCTGGCGTCGGTTTGCGTACCGGGATCTCTGGAGGCCACATACTGGAACAGTCCCTTCCCTGGCCTGCCCCCCCCCACTCTCTCCCCCCGCATGCCCAGTC